CTGGTCAGTTGAAGCAATAGCTTTAAAGTTTCTGTTGGTTCCATCTCCGCACGGTGTCTCCGTTTGAACAAAATACGCTATCAAGTGAGACTGGGTGAAAGCAGCGGATTGCGATCGACCTGACACCAACGATTTCCAGCCAGACACAGGAAATGCCAGTGGTTCTGGGGAATCCAGGGACGAGCTCGATGGACTTCCTGATGTGAGTGCAGTGCCGCCTTCCGGAACATGGCTCTCCAATCTGCAACACGAACATAGTAGGCAAGACACGCATCGATGTTGAAAACCAAAAGAGTTCCTCACAGTGTTACAACAAGAAATACTTCGAACTTACCTCGTCAGTAAATCTTGCTTTTTCCCCGACTTCTTCAACCCCAGCCGCTCACACTCAGCCTTCAAAAGATTCACAGTCCACTTCGAGTAGTCGACAGCATCAGCAGATGAAGCCATCACCGAAATCTCTAAGAAACTCCGGGCCACTTCCTCCCACAAAAGAAACTACTTCGACATGAGAATACTTTTCACTTTTTTTCAAACACTTTTCAAAAGATGCCCCGCAGCCGGATTTGGACGCGCCGCCGCCATGTTTTATGCATACGTGCCATTGAGCGGCCCACTGTCAAGCCCGAGCCACTGAAGCTAGAGCCAATCACGGATGACACGTGGAAACTGGTATCAAACGAACCTCACAGAGTGAAGAAAGCCGTAATCTATGTGGGCAATTTGAACTCACATAGCAGTGAAGAAAGTGTCAAGGAATTCACTGAGCAACGCTCTGCAGCAGTAAACAAACCGGTGAAGGTTCACCAGTGCAGCATACACACCACAGAAGATGGGAAAGTGTCTGCCTGCTTGATGATCGATGCGACTGACCTTGAAATCGCCACTGCTCCAAACTTTTGGCCTCGCCCACTGTACGCGCGGGTTTGGCGCCACCGTGAGCGTCCGAAGGGGGACACCTTGTCCGGCTCACACAGTGACACTCTCAGTGATGCTCCAAAGGGTGACACCTTGTCCGGCTCACACAGTGACGCTCTCTCCTCCAACACTCAAGCTCAAAGCTCCAATTAGATCCTTTCGGATCCTGCTGACGAACACATTTGGACTACTGAGTAAACTTGGTGACTTTCACCATGCTGTACACGTTCACCAACTTGACATTGCCATTGTCACAGAGAGCAAGCTAACCCCTGAGAAGGCTACTGATTCCGAACTGTCCTTGCCTGGGTACTACTCCCCACTGCGGAAGGATCGAACAGCTCATGGAGGAGGAGTTGCGGTTTGGGTTAAAGCCAGTCTGGCCCTCCGAGAACTCGATGACATCCAGGTCGGTAATGAGGAGCTAATATGGCTGAGTGTCAGAACTGTGGATAAGACGTCAGTGGCTGTGTGTGCTGCATATCGCTCTGGCTCCTGCCACGACAATGACATCAGTACCCTTGAAGCCATCAGTGCTGGCATAGACCTGGCCCGTAAATCTTGTCAATATGTGGTATTGGCTGGAGATTTTAACGTACACAACGTGGATTGGCTCGGCAGCACCAAGACAACTCATGCAGGTGTGTACACTGAAGACATGTGTGCTTTTCACTGCTTGGAGCAGCACGTGCATGAGCCCACCAGGGGCCTTAACCCACTCGACTTAATAATGACTGACCTACCGGGAGATGCGACCGTCAATACCTTAGCACCTCTGGGAAACTCTGACCATGCCTGTGTCCTAGCTGACTTTTATGTAAGCACTGCAGAGGAACCACCAGTGACCAGAACTGTCTGGCGTTACCAACGCGCAGACTGGGACAGACTCCGTCACTTCTTTAGAACAACAGATTGGCAGTCCACTGTCAGTGATGATCCTGATGCAATGTGTATGCACTTGACCCAGAATATTCTGGAAGGAATGCGCCGATACATACAGTCTAAGCAGTTGTGCATGAAACCATCTAACCCCTCTTGGTGGACACCGGAATGCACTGAGGCTGTAGCACAGAAACAAAGAGCATGGAGGAGACTCTGCGCCGACCGGTCAAGTGCCCAGTGGCAAGCCCGTTACAATGTCGCCAAGCACTCGGCTAACCATTGCCTGGCAACTGCCAAGCAGGCATTCACAGCAAGCCTGGCGCAGAAGTTAGCCTCTGGGTGTATGGCGTCTGGTGAATGGTGGCGAACCATCAAGAAGGCCTCTGGCCACGGAAACAGCCCATCCATACCTACTCTCCGCAGCACCGATGGTACGGAGCACGACACCAACCGCAGCAAAGCAGAGTGCATGGCCAACAAATGCAGTCTAGGGGCAGACGACCCATCCGCTCCATTTCCTTACGTCCGACCACGTACTGACCGCAACCTCTGCACCGTCCGGTTTCGCGAAACCACAGTCGAGCGAACTCTCCGCCAGCTCAACCCCACCAAGGCCACTGGTCCAGATGGGATACCTGCCCGCGTCTTGAAAGCTTGCTCTGCAGAATTGGCACGGCCGCTTTCAAAACTATTTACATGCTGTCTTCGCTCCGGTATCCAGCCACAACAGTGGAAGGTTGCAAACGTAGTTCCAGTCCACAAGCGCAAGTCTAAATCGTCGCCATCAAACTATCGACCAGTGTCGTTACTGAGCATCCTCTCCAAGGTCATGGAGACCATAGTCAACAGGGCAATGAGCAACTTCATGGAGACGAATCACGTCCTGTCAGAACGGCAATTTGGATTCCGTCGCGGCCACAGTGCAGCAGACCTGCTGACTGCTCTCCACCACCAGTGGGTGCACACCGCTGGAGATAAAGGAGCTGCTCGAGTGCTGGCCATCGACATTGCTGGAGCATTTGACCGGGTGTCTCACACTGGTGTGTTGCACAAGGCTAGAGTGTATGGCATCTCGGGAGACCTGCATCGGTGGCTCCAAGACTACCTCTGCAACCGCACACTTCAAGTCCTCATTTCCGGCCAGACATCAGCCAGACGCCCAGTTAAGGCTGGGGTGCCACAGGGCAGTATCCTGGGCCCCACCTTATTCTTGGTCTACGTCAACGACCTTGAAGACCACCTCCCAATCGGCTCCAACCTTGCCTCATTCGCCGATGACACAACCCTATACGCCGAAATTGCAACGCTCGCTGCTTTTCCTGACAACGCTAGAGTACTCCAGGCTGCTGTCGACCTAGTATCCAGTTGGGGCTCGGATTGGAAAGTGTAGTTCGAGCCAGCCAAATCTCAGGCCCTTACAATTTCCCACCATCGTCGGGACTGGCCAATACCCCCCATTGTCTTCAATGGAACTCCTGTCGAGGAGCAGCCCTCCATCAAAGTACTCGGCGTCACGTTTGACCATCAGCTAAAATTCAGCCAGCATATCCGAACTGTTGTAGTCCGAGCAACGCAGAGACTTGGAGCCTTGCGCAAGGCATTTCACTTGCTGACTATTCCTGCCCGGCTTCGAGCCTACAAAGCCTTTGTCAGGCCGGTTATGGAGTACTGCCCAATCGTCTGGATGGGGGCAGCTCCTTCCCACTTGAATCGGCTGGACTGGGTGCAGGAGCGAGCCATCAAGGCAATACATCCGCAATGCTGGCTTCCTAGCCTCATAATTCGCCGCACCATCGCTGCCCTCTGCCTCCTGTATAAAGCCCTTTGCGATAATTCTCCCGCTCTTCTCTCGAGAATGGCTCCACCCCCGACACACCAACCCAGGACCACACGCCTCACCCGCCAGGCTGTACGACTGTCCACCGCGCATCCCCATCAGTTACAGAATGTTCTTCCTGCCAATTCCCGGAACAATGTGAGCCGAGCCTTTCCTCACTCCGTCATCCCAATTTGGAACCAGCTGCCTACCTCTATCATTCCCCACCCATTTCACCCAAAGAACATCCAAAAGTTCAAGACAGCAGCTTATCACCATCTCCTCAGAACGAACTGGCACTGGGCCACTCATAGCATACGCGAGTAAGAGGGTACAGTGTCCTACCCTGCTTGGACATACATGTAATCTCTCCTCACGGGCAGTCTCCTCTTGAATTTAAAAGTCTAACAGCGTTCACATCAATACTCAACTTATTCTTTTGCTCACTGAGCAATACAATCTTTCCATTTTCTTTCTTCTGTTTTCTTTTTCAATTTAATCCTCCCCACCCAATATCCCTTTGGTGCGTCCATGGAGCTATGAAGCCGAGACCTCTGGTCGGCGGAGCTTAATGGGCCCCACCACCACACTCCATCATTCACCCCAGTGTCTGGAGATATGTGGATTTTGTAGAAAAAAAAAGAAAGAAAAAACTGCCTTGCAGTCACTCTGTCGACCATAATGTGCGACTGTTCTGCCATTGTTAGACAGGACCAGACCGGCATGACACATGTCGGGGTCAAACCGTAATACATTAGCCACAGTCGTGACTGCAGGACTTCCTTGGACGTGGCCAGCGTCAGTTGTGACAGACACTTTGACTTGTCCCTTCCTTCCGGCTGTGTTGAATACAGCGAATACTAGGCTGGGGGAGGTTTCCGTGTCTGTTGCCTTGACAAGCGGACAGATTGTGACGTCATTATCCCCCGTCATCAATTCCACTTTCACACTGTTCAGTTCTTTGTCTGTTGCAGTCAGCGCGTTACCGCATTGGTTCCTCAGGTCAATGGAGATACCGAGATCTTGTCCTTCGTCCACGTTAGCTGGAGTGGTCACAGTGCTCTTGCCAGACGACACTGTGTGGGCCATGCTGACCGAACCGGCATTCGAGATAGGTTTGTTGGAATCCTCGTTGCCATCAGCCGTGAATTATAGTAACTGGCTGGAATGGCGTCAGTTCCGCTACAGCTGCATCCATGACGTCATGTGTTGCGTCTTCCAACCAGCAGCACATCTTCAAGAAGTTACTGTCAGACTGGCAATGCTCTGTCAGATGTTTGACTCGCTGGCCAGTTGATAAGCTGGATAGGATGCGTCGCTATCGCTCTTGTATCGGTAGGCGATGCGGTAGTTGCAGTTGGTCAAGCTTATCCAGCAATTGTTGCTATCGCTTATCAATGACTGTCTTCAACTGAGTGAAGAAGTCATTGATTTCCGACGACACAGTTTCAGTTTGGTCATGCAGCTGCGAGAGTGCCTTGTCCGTTGTAGCCAATGCACTCTCCAGTTCACTTCCTTCACCAGAGAAAGAGGCCGTCATCTTTGCAATGAGCGAGTCTCTGATTGTGGAAACAGCTTGCTCAATGGGTAGCAAATCCTGGCGATGCTGGTCATGGCGATTAGACGCTTCAAGGCATTTGTCACAGAGGATCTTTCGACAAACCATGCAGAAGTGTGATTGCTCAGACGATGGATGCAGTGCACACTTTGACCCGGGAGTGGGTCTTCGTGCGCTAGGAGAAGATGAATCAGCCTCACTAAGTGGCACGACCTTGTGCCTGTATGATTTGCGAGATTTTGGGTGTCCTTTGGCATGGTCAGTGCAGAAATGGTCACCACAGTCCATGCAAATAGCCACTGCTACAGTATCCTCAGCACATTCATCGCACAGTTTATTTTGCATTATGGCAGTAGCCTCACCTGCATCGCCGGACAACACATCACTGTCTGGCAGGTACTGCAGCAAAGGAACACCAGCCAACGGCGGTGGAGTGATCGCGCCACAGCCAGGACATCCTACTGAACTATTATCATTGGTATGCTTCTCCAAGCATTCCACGCAAATCGAGTGAAGACATTTCAACAGTTTTCCTCGCGTATTGCTACTCTCACAAAACACGCAGTCTGACCTGGGCATGACAAACTTTACAGCGGAATCAACAGCTACGGTATTCAATTTCTCTTGGTCTCTCACCATCAGGTGTTCTCATGAACACGAATAACAGACCAGGAAACAGCGCAGTAACCGTGTGATTCGCTAACTCTACTGCCGTGCATGCTCGTTGCCTTTACCAGTGCAGTGCAGCCTGGTAGAGGGTAGTGTGTATTACATGTGCGTGATCACAGTGCCGTAGGCGTACTGAAACTACTGGTAGCATTACCATCATGCATGTGTGATGCGCTGCACGGAGTCCGAGCCTACTGTCGAGTGAGAGCCAGCATTTTAGCTTGTAGATCCGTCTTCCCGGTTTGGCACTGGATCGAGCTGCTCCTATTCGTCTTAGATCGTTGCCTCCGCCAGCCTTAGCCCTGTCACCTTTTCCTGTTTGGGTTTGGTGGCTGACCTGCGCACATACATTACATGACATGTGTATGTAGCTATGCTCCAGCCAGAGTCCAGGGTTCTGACGGCAGTAAACCACACAAGTGTCATTCGTTGACATGTGGTAGAGACACGAAATTGACCGGGAACCCCGAGCGCAACGACTATCCCGAGGAAATCATCCAAGAGATTGCTCGGAAAAGTTGCCTCACTGCGCAACGACGTGAGCCATACATATGTAGGTATATGAGAAAAGATGCCGCTATACTGAAGCTACTCGTTCGCTCGGAAGACATTCAGCGGAAGGCGAAGCCTTTAGTCGAACGCTCTGCATTCAAGGTCAATGTCGCGTCTGAACACACTCCCAACCTCAAAGATGCCCTCGTGAAGTCAGCGCTGAATCCAACTGCCCAGAGAAGATAAGGAAACGATCTCACTCCGCATGTTCAAGATCCGTGCCGCCCCTTATTTACTACAACATAAGTAGCTCATTATTTTCATATCCTTTCCGTCTCTGTTGCTTTTCACTGTTTTTATTTTCACATTCTCTTTCTTACTGAGTTGTTGTTGCTGTTGATTTGCTACTCATTTGTTTTCCCTCCCCTTACTTTTATGTTTCGCCGTGGTTGGCAATAACTCACTCTCCTAACATTGGCCGGTGATTCCACCGAGTCTTGAGATGTTGTAATAAATATAAATATAATACAATGGCTATTCAGTCTCAAATGGTTCTTCAATTTGGGCATCACACTTTTGTGCATTGAATAAAATACAATCATGCAGATGAATCGTTACTAGTAAGTGTCCTTTAGTATTGTGGAAACTGAACGGATATTTTTCATCACGTGTACAGTGTTCTACTCTCTCATTGCTTTTTGATCCTTGTGTTAAGGTGTCATTATTTCCTGTATTTATATTTTACATTTTCTCACGGAAAACGCGGCCAGCCCGAATGTGCAGGTTTTTAATGAATTGCTTTGAGTTTTGCCCTTACAGGAGACGATTCTAAAACACACTGGGTGTCCTCCTTGAACAGTTTGTGGTTTAGTCCCTCTCGTCTCACATTCACCTTCTCTTTGAAGTCTTCCTTCCTCTCTGCTTTCCTTTTATCTCCCGTTGTGTATAATTGTCCTCGCTAAATTCATCAACTACACGTACTACTAGGGAGCACAACCAGCACCACATACACTACCAACACTAGAACCACCACTACAACCACAACCATCACAAACTATGCTCATTTTGATATTTTCCCCCAGGTAAACTTTCAATCCTTTGCTTCAGACACATGACAAGAGCAAAGGAAAGGATCAAATAAGTCAGATCTGCAACAGCGGGTGCTGGAAGCTGAGAGCTCGCATGCAAGTGAAACTACTGCAAGTGCAACAACGACAACGACAAAAGCAAAGGGAAGGAGCAAATACGTCAGATCTGCGACAGCGGGTGCTCGAAGCGGGAGCTCGCATGCAAGTGCAACAACTTCAAGTGCATCAACGACAACAACGACAAAAGCAAAGGACAGGAGCAAATACGTCAGATCTCCGACAGCGGGTGCTCGAAGCGAGAGCTCGCGTGCAAAACCAACAACGACAACGACGACAGCAACTAACAAACCATCTCTTATTGGCCACTGGCTATCGATAAAGATTTGGACCAAACACAAGATGAAAATGTCTAAACAAGCCCGTGGAATTCATCAAGGCAGGGAATAAAGTCAACACTTTTTGACAGCTAGTGAAATTATTCGATTTAAAACCAGTCGAGACATAACGAGATTAGCACAAAAATGATGCAGCACCGCAAGTTGGTACAAGGATGGTCCTAGACCATTAGATAACAACCAAACGCGTGCTTGGTCACTAGAGTGAGTCGTCCTCTTCTGCATATGCGGCAGAGTGCTGGAAAGGGTCTGCTCTATATGCTGGTGTACTGAGGACTGTATTAAAGGATGTGATTGGGGGGTGGTGGGCAGCAATAGAGGAAGAGGTTCCTCCGTCTTCACTAGGATTCAAGACTAGGCCAATGTGATCTACTGGCTTTGGGCTCAGGAAAGGTACAGGGTAAGGTAAACCATGAGGCGAAACAGACGGCATTGGATATGCTGAATCTTGTACAGCAGTAGGACTGGTTTGCAGCATACTCTGTTGTCGAGTGTGAATCTTTCTGTGGCGAGTTCGTACATCATCCCGCGCGAAAGACTGATCACAGACTCCACAGTTGTAGGGTTTCTCACCTGCAGGAGTAGGTATGTGCATATCCAGGTGTTGTGTCAGGTGTTGCTTACGTAGAACACGAAATATGCCCATCCCACAATGGCGTTTCCTTTGTGGATGCGCTTCTCGGACATGGCGCTTTAGCTCATCCTCATCGTGAAACTCGGCATGGCAGCCTCTGTCAGAACACTGAATAGCATCGGTCTGTGTTGCTGAACTAGTCAGTGGCTCTCGCTCTGCCCTGGCCGAAGAATTTGAACCTGCGAGATTCTGTTCCGGTTGAGGATATGCTGTGAGCTGCGCTAATCGCAGCAGGGACGGTGCGAATTCGTCGGACTGTAGCCCATCCTCGCTACCAGGATTTTTCTGCCCATCAAAACCCTTCAAACTGGAACTGTTTTCGGGTGTCGTCATCCTCTACGGAAGCCTCACTACAGGTTTTAAATTACAGGTCTTATACGGCAAGCAGAGATTCAATCCTAACCTTTGTCAGCAGAAAGGATACTAGAACTGAGGATATTGAGAACGCTTTGCTGGTCTCTAGAGGATGGCGGTGAGTCACTTTACAATAGCTACCAACACTTCGATGCTGGAGCGGTCATTGCATTTCACTGGCTCAAACTAGTAGAGAGGGAATGAAGGAATAATTCAAAGACTACGTACATAAAGGCAACCGGTTTAATATTAAATCTAGCACTTCACGAAGCGGGAATGAAGGGCGGTAGTTGGAGTAGGTGACTAAAACGGCACACTTCCTCCGCGAGTGAAAAAGGACATTGCAGCACAACACGTCAGTGTCATGGTGATGCTTTCACACTCACGGGACTAGCGCCAAATACCTAAAAATCAACACAAGGAGGAAAACTTCCTTCTGCCAGCGGAGTCGCCTGATGATTGCATCGAGCAAGAAGCTCCGAGTTGCGACAACTCTGCAAACCTCCATTGTGACTTTTGTGTGTAAAAATCAATACATTCACTTGTCAAGTCATAAGATTTTGTGATTAGTTGTATTTCAAAAGTATGTCGATCAGGTTTGTTCTGTTGTCCCTCATGGCAGATCTAAATTGCACTCTACTGTTTTGGAAACGTTGTGCATCCATAAGCTGTCCCCAGCGCTTTGTATTCAGAAACAGAAAGTGTTCTCCTTTCAGTCACTTGGCGCTACAGCTTGTAATATCTTGGCACAAGCGGGTCCAAGGTTTTCTATGATGTTGTTTTCTGTTATATGAAAGCATTGAAAGCAAACTGAAATATCACAAATTATGTACACTGTAGAGCAGCGTGCAACAACAGCGTGCACATAGCAGTGTCGTTAGCTCCTGCATATTGCACTCCGAACTAGACTGGAAAAGGTCACGCTCAGATTCACGGTCAACAAAACGCCTGCCAGCGAGTAGCGCTGATGCTCTGTGAAGGACACACAAGGTCTCTCGTACTCGTAGACCGTGCGCAATGCACACCTTTTTGAAATCGTGCCTTGCAGCTTGGCTAAAGACTTATCGTGTACCATGTATAGGATATTGCACGGTTCCGAGGGGATTATTTTCAAATCCCCAAGGCGCGCAGTGCCGCGGCAATTATGACACCGCGGACACTGTGCAATATCCTGTATAGACCACACTGTTCGGGTGATCAGGAGCATGAACCAGTAAGGCAGTGTATTGCGAACGTAACACTGAAGTAGGTCTGACGTAGTCATTTGCTCGTCGCCTCTCCGGGTTTAGATCCACTTCTTGGTTTGTCTCCTAAGACGAAGTCTCATGATCTCCGCTGCTTGTTGGTAGCTGACAAAAGGGGTGCTGATAGCGATCAAGTGAAAACGACAAAATAGTGGATATTGTAATTATTTGAAAATAATTTGAGGTGCTTTGTTCGTCTCACACCTTCAATGTACAACATATGCGGGGTGTTCGTCCTTGAACAGTTTGTGTTTTAGTCCCTCTCGTCTCACATTTCACCTTCTCTTTGAAGTCTTCCTCTCTGCTTTCCTTTAATCTTCCCTTGTGTATAATTCTCCGTGCTAAATCCATCAACTACACGTACTACAAGGGAGCACAACCAGCACCACATAAACAGACACTACCAACACTAGCACCACTATACCACTACAACCACCACCGTCACAATCAACCCTGATTTTGATATTTTCCTCCGGTACACTTTCAATCCTTCGCTTCAGACACACACAGACAAGAGCAAAGGAAAGGATGAAATAAGTCAGATCTGCGAAAGCGGGTGCTCGAAGCGAGAGCTCGCATGCAAGTGCAACAACGACAACGACAACAACGACAAAAGCAAAGTAAAGAAGCAAAAACGTCAGATCTGCGACAGCGGTTGCTCGAAGCGAGAGCTCGCATGCAAGTGCAACAACTGCAAATGCAA